AACCTTTTCACTTACCTCCATAGCCACCCAATACAAGGTTTCTCTCACTGTCACACTGTTCTCAGTCCAAAACAAACACCCATTCACACTCACACATTGATTGTCACAATGTTTGATTTCCCTCCACAACCCTTCACGCAGAGAGTACTTTTGTACTCGAACAGCACAAGTTTTTGCAAGAGAATCACCCAAACACACTTCTTTGTTTGTGTCCTCAAAAGAGTGAACCCTCAAAACTTGATAATCACTGTAACTTTTGTTGAAGTAAAAGCCTACAAGACAGTGTGGTGGCACCATGTAAGGAAGCAAAGTGCTTTCTGGTTCCATGATTCGCTCGGTTTGTCCCGTGGCAGGATTCCAAAGAATGATGGTAGAGTTAGGATCGAAAGAATAGTGAATGGCACAGAGTATACCGTTGCATGAACCCACCATCTTGAAACCCATTTCAGAATCTGTGACCTTTGGAACATTAAGTGGTTTGAGCTTCTTTTCTTTGACATCTAGCAGAAACAGATCATGATCGTAGATTTCTCCATTCCAGCGAAAGCGATCGAGGATTAAAAGAGTGTTTCTACTGCTGAAGCAAAGAAAATGGTTTGAAAAGAAGGATTTGACACGGCTAAAAAATCTATACATTGATGTACTTCTGATAATGTTTTTGATTGCCTTTTTTTACTATGAACTAAGAAGAAAATTTGTTGCCATTTAGAACAATTGGGTGCAAAAAATAAGAAAGAACATTTTATTTGTTGGAGCGTTGGATCATAGCATACCATGTATCCAGAGAAAGAAGAGGCTTTTGAGTTGAAATACTATAAATAAGCACTGAAATCGAAAGGATGGAATGTGTAGGAAAATGAAGAGGCAAATTGAAATTTCCTTCCTTGGAATGTGTATGAATGGTTTTTACTCAAAATAAATGAATATGAAGAATGGTGATGCTTGGTGGAAGTGGAAGAGGTTTTTTGAACAATTCAAGGAAATAGTTATTTATTTGAATGATTATTTCCATCTATACTATAAATTCGAACTTTCTCATTCCTTACTAAACAAACAATTTCTCTTTTTCTCTAAGCCTTCTTGTTTTTTCCTTTATCTTTCAAGACAAACAGAAAATTCAAAATCTACCTAGCCCAGTTATTGCTGTATACACCTCCGTATTACTACCTACATCTTCATATGTGCTGGAAAACTTATTCTTAAAATATTACTCCAGAAATCTTGTTTTGGAATATATCTCATATGTTAAACTGTTTCAGAAATCCAGTTCAAAATTTCTGTTATGAAAAATATGATGTTTCTGAATGGATAATCACCATTAATTTGGTGGTGCGGATAGTAATTATGGGAAATAAGAAAAAGACCAAAACTAAACACGAAATTGGATGGACTTTCCATAGGCATACCTAGCCCAGTTAGAAATCAAATAAATTTCCTAAGCCCTGTATTTATTCTTTCTTCTAATTGTCCTGTCTATGATTTCAATTTTATTACAAAATTCAAACTCATTCTCGTGAGTTAATAGTTTTCTTATTGATTTATTTTTTTCTCGAATTGAGTCTATTCAATGATTTTATATATATATATATAAGATTTGAAAATTATTAATCTTCTTTTTTTCAAATAAAGACAGATACATATGTAATTATATACTCAAATTATTAATGTCATATTTACAATAACTATGTTATCAAAAAACAACATATATTATAATTATAAGAAATTATTTGTTGTAATGTTTTACTAGTTTTAAATTTTAATTAAAGAATTTGTCAAATTAAGAATTTAATGAAACAATAAATATAAAGATAAAAAAACCCGTATTTAAAATTAACAAGACAATGGATAAACTGAATCTTGGAAATTCATTTCCTCAACATAATTTACACTGAAAGTTTGAAGAGACAAAGATAGGAATACAATTGCACCCATGAACCAACCCATACTAATACAATTTTTTATTACTTGTATGTGAATTTGTTCTATTCTATTTTATAAAATCCTACTAACAATGTAAACCGGGCTATTGACTTCAGCACCCCCACAAATACTAACTACCTCCTTCACCACCATCACATCCCTGTCTCCAATGCTAACTCTGTTGCTTCCTTCATCACTGCTACTGCAATGGAAAAAGAAGAGAGAGAGAATGTTGCAAAGCTATTTTCAAAACATATTTCATGCAGAAGTGTTTCATAAACTCATTCCAGAAAATTGGTTCTAAATATTTATTCTGAAAATATTTTTCAAAATATATTTCACACATTCTGAAAATTTTATTTCCAAAATTACGTTCCAAAAAATCCTGTTTTAGATATTATGATCCAAAAATCTTGTTCTGAAAATTTTTTCTGAAGTTTTATGAATATATTAATGTAGCCCAAATGGTCATTTTAAAAATTTGAGAGGGTGTGTAAGAAATTGAGAGGATGCAGGAAGCAAAAGCCGAACCCAATTACTATCAACCCAACTATCAAAATTTAAAACCTAACGAAATGAACAACATATAAGGAAAAAGAAAAGCAATAATTTTTTGGTAAAAAGCAGAAAAAGAGAGACTAAAGAATGTGCACATCGTAGTTGGATTTTATGATCACTGAATGGAGCAGTGTGTCTCCCACAATCAATCTCACTTTGTTTATCCATACTTGTCTTGAAATCTTCCGTTGCTGATACCAAACAGTGTAAACTCACTCAGTTCTACTGCTAATTTACATTACAAATAAAGCAGTAAGAACCTGAAAACAAGACAATTACTTAATATTGATCATTACTCGGTAAATTCGGTAGCTTTTGAGTAACATAGTCATCTCTGCTGGTTTCAAATTATTTGAAACTCTTGCTACTAAATTGGGAAACAACAAATATGGTGATTGAGGTTTCAGTGCTCCATGTACCACTGAATCTGCACACCATAGCCAACAAAAATGAAATATGTACAACGAATTACATGCTACTGAAACTTAAGAATTGTGGCAAGAAACGAAAAGGTAACACCAATTACCCTTTGTGTAATTATATCTGAAACTAAGAATATAATTTGGATGAATGTGTGAATTCATAAAAGCAGTCCAGATAATATGTTTTGTAGGTGCTAAAATATCATCCACACCAGAGTCATATTGCTTAGAACTAGGTTGGCTCTGCTTTGAACCACAACCAACAGCTTCCACCTTCCCTAAAATCACTCTGCATAGTAACACATGTCTCAAACCATGCTCATCTGCTACTGTACACATAGCACTGTCAATGAAGTAAACAAATTCTTAGCTCTATTTATTTTCTCCCAGGCATAAAATTGACATCGAAAATGGAACTGGTTCGTACAAAAAATACTGTGGCACGCACCTATCAATGGAGGAATGGACAGAAAATAAGGGAATCCCAACACCGTGAGACTCATCGTGATCATCATGGCTTTTGCATCCATTGAATCCAACAGATACAATTTCTAGGAGATCATCTAAGGAACTACCATACCAAGCATTCCTTACATTTGCATCTCCACCAGATTTGATTGCCACAGCCTTAGAGAAAATATTGAAGGAATCCCAACGAGCTTGCCTTGCCAAACTAAAGGAAACATCGTTCTTGTGAATGGCAATGACAGTTGTGGCATTTCCCATAAATCCCATACCCTTCAAGAAACCATTCTTAATGGATTCGTATTCTTCACTCTCCTTCTCTACTTTCGGTAATCCCTTCCCAACCCAATTCTCTATTCGCTGCATTTATTTCTTCCTCTAAAATAAGAAGGTTTATACGTAATTGAGCTTTTTGTTGATTTTATTTTTCCCGCTTATAAGTTCAATGTGTCATTAGTAATGGGTGAAAGCAAATGTTGAATATTATATATGAAGTGTGGGGGTGGGCACGAACCTTGCGGATCAAGGTAATATATTGCCGTGCTGAAATCGAATACTGTATCTACCGACGGCTTGGATTTTGTGGTGTTCACAAGACACCGTTAATTTTCTTGAAAAACAAGAAAATACCTTCTAAAACCTTCTATGCTTAATATGTAGAACAAAGTACCTTTTTAGTTGCACTGATATTAATATTGGAAAGTAAATTAAAGTTAAATAAATAGAAGTAGTTTTCGTTTAGGAGAAAAAAAAAAGAAAATTTTTAAAAATTAATACCGAATAATTTAAATCGCATAAAGTTAATATTTGAGAATTTAATATTGTAACATAAAAAGGTAAATAAATTAAATGAGAATTTTTTGAGGAAGAAAAACATATACTTCTGAAATTTATTAGAAAACATTGAAGTTTAAAATGGGACTTTAAATTTACAATATTAAAGCATTTAATTTATAAAATAAAAATGAAAATTGTGTGATTCCTTGTCACTGTCAAGTTGCATGTAGACTCTACGTTGGCTTTCTAAGGCTTCAGGTTTCCGCAAATCGTCAGCAACTTTTTCTTTTCTACCATTTATGTTTCCACCATCCATTCCTACTTGTGAATTATTGGTTTCAAAGCGGTTGTGGAAAGTTTTCGTGAAAGAATCTATTTATGTACACATTTCTTACTCTATACAAATAGATTACTAAAAAGCTCCTTGGACTTTTCTTCAACTAAAATAAAATATAATTAATCTTCTTCATGATAGAGCCTCTAATTACACATCTTTAATAAATTTTTTTCATTTAAATAATAATGCTACATTTTTTTACAATTTATTTATAATAACACTTAAAACTTCATCTAATTTTTGAAATATACTTCGAATGAAAAATTTGCCAATCGTATTAAAATGTATCATCCATTATATATAGCTACTTTGTGCTCAATGTAATTGATGGGAAATTAAATATTTAATAATCAATGAACATAACCACAAAAGTCGTCCCTAATTCTATTAAATACATGTTCACCTATATTCATCTTAGTTCCTATTCTTGCCGGGCCCGCTCCCTCAATGATATCTATCACAGCCAAATTATGTTAATGTGTCCTCTTGATATGAAAAGATTAAATGGCATCGTAATCCAATTTGCACACGTATTTAGTTCATACATTAAAAACTAATTACTACCAATAAAACATCAAAATTCCAGAAACCAAACACTGCCTCAGATGTACAAACATGCAACCAGCCAATGCATGACCAAAAATGTGTGCCTAAAATTTGTAGGAAGATAAACTGCTAGTTATAGTTAAATATAATTAACGCTACTTTAATAAAATCAATTATAACATTTTCTCTTCAAGAACAAGGGCATTGAAGATAAAATGCAGATACCCTCTTCGAATGCACACCAGCACAACCTGCANTGTAATTATATACTCAAATTATTAATGTCATATTTACAATAACTATGTTATCAAAAAACAACATATATTATAATTATAAGAAATTATTTGTTGTAATGTTTTACTAGTTTTAAATTTTAATTAAAGAATTTGTCAAATTAAGAATTTAATGAAACAATAAATATAAAGATAAAAAAAACCCGTATTTAAAATTAACAAGACAATGGATAAACTGAATCTTGGAAATTCATTTCCTCAACATAATTTACACTGAAAGTTTGAAGAGACAAAGATAGGAATACAATTGCACCCATGAACCAACCCATACTAATACAATTTTTTATTACTTGTATGTGAATTTGTTCTATTCTATTTTATAAAATCCTACTAACAATGTAAACCGGGCTATTGACTTCAGCACCCCCACAAATACTAACTACCTCCTTCACCACCATCACATCCCTGTCTCCAATGCTAACTCTGTTGCTTCCTTCATCACTGCTACTGCAATGGAAAAAGAAGAGAGAGAGAATGTTGCAAAGCTATTTTCAAAACATATTTCATGCAGAAGTGTTTCATAAACTCATTCCAGAAAATTGGTTCTAAATATTTATTCTGAAAAATATTTTTCAAAATATATTTCACACATTCTGAAAATTTTATTTCCAAAATTACGTTCCAAAAAATCCTGTTTTAGATATTATGATCCAAAAATCTTGTTCTGAAAATTTTTTCTGAAGTTTTATGAATATATTAATGTAGCCCAAATGGTCATTTTAAAAATTTGAGAGGGTGTGTAAGAAATTGAGAGGATGCAGGAAGCAAAAGCCGAACCCAATTACTATCAACCCAACTATCAAAATTTAAAACCTAACGAAATGAACAACATATAAGGAAAAAGAAAAGCAATAATTTTTTGGTAAAAAGCAGAAAAAGAGAGACTAAAGAATGTGCACATCGTAGTTGGATTTTATGATCACTGAATGGAGCAGTGTGTCTCCCACAATCAATCTCACTTTGTTTATCCATACTTGTCTTGAAATCTTCCGTTGCTGATACCAAACAGTGTAAACTCACTCAGTTCTACTGCTAATTTACATTACAAATAAAGCAGTAAGAACCTGAAAACAAGACAATTATTTAATATTGATCATTACTCGGTAAATTCGGTAGCTTTTGAGTAACATAGTCATCTCTGCTGGTTTCAAATTATTTGAAACTCTTGCTACTAAATTGGGAAACAACATATATGGTGATTGAGGTTTCAGTGCTCCATGTACCACTGAATCTGCACACCATAGCCAACAAAAATGAAATATGTACAACGAATTACATGCTACTGAAACTTAAGAATTGTGGCAAGAAACGAAAAGGTAACACCAATTACCCTTTGTGTAATTATATCTGAAACTAAGAATATAATTTGGATGAATGTGTGAATTCATAAAAGCAGTCCAGATAATATGTTTTGTAGGTGCTAAAATATCATCCACACCAGAGTCATATTGCTTAGAACTAGGTTGGCTCTGCTTTGAACCACAACCAACAGCTTCCACCTTCCCTAAAATCACTCTGCATAGTAACACATGTCTCAAACCATGCTCATCTGCTACTGTACACATAGCACTGTCAATGAAGTAAACAAATTCTTAGCTCTATTTATTTTCTCCCAGGCATAAAATTGACATCGAAAATGGAACTGGTTCGTACAAAAAATACTGTGGCACGCACCTATCAATGGAGGAATGGACAGAAAATAAGGGAATCCCAACACCGTGAGACTCATCGTGATCATCATGGCTTTTGCATCCATTGAATCCAACAGATACAATTTCTAGGAGATCATCTAAGGAACTACCATACCAAGCATTCCTTACATTTGCATCTCCACCAGATTTGATTGCCACAGCCTTAGAGAAAATATTGAAGGAATCCCAACGAGTTTGCCTTGCCAAACTAAAGGAAACATCGTTCTTGTGAATGGCAATGACAGTTGTGGCATTTCCCATAAATCCCATACCCTTCAAGAAACCATTCTTAATGGATTCGTATTCTTCACTCTCCTTCTCTACTTTCGGTAATCCCTTCCCAACCCAATTCTCTATTCGCTGCATTTATTTCTTCCTCTAAAATAAGAAGGTTTATACGTAATTGAGCTTTTTGTTGATTTTATTTTTCCCGCTTATAAGTTCAATGTGTCATTAGTAATGGGTGAAAGCAAATGTTGAATATTATATATGAAGTGTGGGGGTGGGCACGAACCTTGCGGATCAAGGTAATATATTGCCGTGCTGAAATCGAATACTGTATCTACCGACGGCTTGGATTTTGTGGTGTTCACAAGACACCGTTAATTTTCTTGAAAAACAAGAAAATACCTTCTAAAACCTTCTATTCTTAATATGTAGAACAAAGTACCTTTTTAGTTGCACTGATATTAATATTGGAAAGTAAATTAAAGTTAAATAAATAGAAGTAGTTTTCGTTTAGGAGAAAAAAAAAAGAAAATTTTTTAAAATTAATACCGAATAATTTAAATCGCATAAAGTTAATATTTGAGAATTTAATATTGTAACATAAAAAGGTAAATAAATTAAATGAGAATTTTTTGAGGAAGAAAAACATATACTTCTGAAATTTATTAGAAAACATTGAAGTTTAAAATGGGACTTTAAATTTACAATATTAAAGCATTTAATTTATAAAATAAAAATGAAAATTGTGTGATTCCTTGTCACTGTCAAGTTGCATGTAGACTCTACGTTGGCTTTCTAAGGCTTCAGGTTTCCGCAAATCGTCAGCAACTTTTTCTTTTCTACCATTTATGTTTCTACCATCCATTCCTACTTGTGAATTATTGGTTTCAAAGCGGTTGTGGAAAGTTTTCGTGAAAGAATTTATTTATGTACACATTTCTTACTCTATACAAATAGATTACTAAAAAGCTCCTTGGACTTTTCTTCAACTAAAATAAAATATAATTAATCTTCTTCATTATAGAGCCTCTAATTACACATCTTTAATAAATTTTTTTCATTTAAATAATAATGCTACATTTTTTTACAATTTATTTATAATAACACTTAAAACTTCATCTAATTTTTGAAATATACTTCGAATGAAAAATTTGCCAATCGTATTAAAATGTATCATCCATTATATATAGCTACTTTGTGCTCAATGTAATTGATGGGAAATTAAATATTTAATAATCAATGAACATAACCACAAAAGTCGTCCCTAATTCTATTAAATACATGTTCACCTATATTCATCTTAGTTCCTATTCTTGCCGGGCCCGCTCCCTCAATGATATCTATCACAGCCAAATTATGTTAATGTGTCCTCTTGATATGAAAAGATTAAATGGCATCGTAATCCAATTTGCACACGTATTTAGTTCATACATTAAAAACTAATTACTACCAATAAAACATCAAAATTCCAGAAACCAAACACTGCCTCAGATGTACAAACATGCAACCAGCCAATGCATGACCAAAAATGTGTGCCTAAAATTTGTAGGAAGATAAACTGCTAGTTATAGTTAAATATAATTAACGCTACTTTAATAAAATCAATTATAACATTTTCTCTTCAAGAACAAGGGCATTGAAGATAAAATGCAGATACCCTCTTCGAATGCACACCAGCACAACCTGCAAAAGCCTCCCTTTTTGTAAGAACCGGGAAGTACACGCTTTCTAAATTCAATAACACTAATCTTCATTTTGACTTTCTTCCTTGACAAGCTTGATCATGTCATCAATTCGTAGGATAGTAATGGCAGCTTCTGTGGCAAACTGAAATAAATAACCAAAAAAGTTTAGACAAGATGGAAGCTATTTCTTGAAGTCAACAACTACTAATATTCTAAGTACATACCTGAATAATTTTGACTTTGCTCATTGCAGGCTCAATGACTCCAGCCTCCAAGTTGTTTCTGATTTTCCCTTCAGAAAGGTCCAGACCCATGCTGGGAAAAAATAGAGCAAAACAGTATCGGTATTTTAATGTAATAGAAAAGAAAGCTTTTCAAGCACCATTTTTCATCTGTATTCTCAATTTTTACTTTTCTCTAGTTTACATTGTTAAAACAAGCCTTTGTTGGAATAACACTTCAATCTCTATATTATGGATAAAAAATGCACAAACTTATTTTGCCTGTCCAAATCCAATGATAAAATTTATATCGTGTATTTTATCTATTGACCCACAACGCCCAAATACCAAATAAATGCACATGACATTGCAAAATCATGTCAAATGGTTAAGAAACCTACTAGCGGAATTACCATTCTCCAACACACAGGTTCTAAGAAAATACTAATCATGAGAAATATAACCACAGCAAAGCTAAATTCAACAAAAAGACTCCAAGCTAGAAAGACAAAATACAAAGGAAAGTATATTTAGTCACTATTACTAGTAAGCAAATACCTTGATAAATGTTTCTTATCAGCTTTAGTTTGCGCTGAATGGTGGTAGGCCCGTAATTTTGCAACCAGCTCAGTAGCATCCTTAGCAGCATTAACCGAAAGCACCTGTGCCAGTCAAGTGACATCAATATATACATTTGAAAATGGTTGGAAACAGGAACCGATCTATCAAAACTAATTGACACAAAAATCCAAGCAATTGAAATTAAATATCACGTCAACTAGTAAATTCTTAACATGTCCAACAAACAAGAAAGCTCAACTGCACTAAAATTACAGAATAACTACCTAGTGTAGAATCCACATATAACTATATGGTAAAATCTATTTAGTGAACGTTGGATGAAGACCAAACTGTAAATTCTGCCCTACACCCTAGATATTTGTAATTACCTTTGGAATGATTAACAGAGACTCGGCAAATTCTGCTATAGCCAACTGCTCCCGAGACCCTAAAGTTGTAGCAAGGTACTCCAAATAAACTGACAAAGCTGCTTCAACTGCACCTCCACCAGCTACCACCTGAATTTTATATTTTGAAAAATCAAGCACAAGGCAAACAAAATAGGAAATTTTAAAAAACATATAAAATATATATACAAAATCAGGCTACTAATACACAGGAGAAAATTCACAATCATCAAGAAAAATTTAAGGAGTAACCTTTTCACCATCAAACCCCTAATCACAAATCCTCACTGTCACTGATCAAATAGGATTAGTTTCTTATAAATTCAAAAAACCGATTCTGATCTATAAAAAAATAGTCATGTTTTTTAAGAATTTAGAGAAGGAAGAAAACTACTTTGTTTGCTACAACAATAAAATTCTTTTAAAATTTTTTTATGACAAGCTATTCAAAAGTGCTTGTGATTATTTTAAAAATTTACTTTTAGCGTCTGATTTCATATGACAAACTTTTAAAGCCAATTCTTCAATTAAAAAAGTGATTCTTTTTCAAGAGAATATATAACAAGCAGACACAACCTAAATTCTGACTCTTGACAATTAGAATCTTTTATCTTAAGTGCATTACACATTAATTGACCTTTTAACGGTATCATTCACTACCCAGAATTATGTAACTAAAAATGGGTGGGTGGGTGGAAAAGCTGAGGTATGCCCTCCTGACAAATTCTGTCTATCAAAGTGCAATCCAAATATTTAAGATGACTCTAGTGATTGGAAAACAAATCATTTTGGATTTATACATGCATCATTGTATTTAAATGACTATATTTAAGTGGGGCATATTACTTCTCATCAAGTGCCTTAAAGTCAGACCAAGGATATTATTTCTCGTCACACACTAAGTTACAAGCAAGCATGCAATACCGAGGAACACAACATCATGCTGGATGTGTGGTAGAACTATAACAAGACAAATTATATTACAGCAGTAACATAGGATTATCGTGAGGTCAACTTCACTGAAAGAAACCAATTCAAATTATGATATTCCCTGAAAAAATGAATCTAATGTAACATAATTATTTTCGACCAAAGTGAGATGAAAGCCAAAGAAAGCAGGATACCATGTTTGATTCAAGAGTTCTCTTGACAATCGACAGCGCATCATGCAGAGCTCTATCCATCTCATCAAGCATATGGTCATTTGCACCTCTTAAAATCAAAGATACCTATAGAAGAATCACAGAATTAGGTGATAATGTAGTGTAAAACATGAAAATTATGACTATTAATACATTTTAATAATAATATTCTGAAAGACATATTTGACAGATAAGAAATTAATTATCACCAAAAAAAGTCATTTTTCTTGAAAAAGTAAGTGAGAACGATAATGGGTTTCAGAGAATCTGATGATTTGGAATCACGAGAAAAAAATACCGAAAATAAGGAAAAACAAACTTTTTGAATTTTAAAATTAAATTTCAAAATAATAATGTGATGCATTTTCTTTAACTTTTTAAACATAAATCGTAATTAAGTGTCTCAATAATGAGACTAAATTTAATTATACGTAAGATAAGAATTTAGTTATTAAGAATTTGTACGAGGGTTTGATATATAAATTTTAATTATATTTGTCGATTTTGATAAAGGAATAATTCTTTGATGTGTTTCAAATTTTCATAAATAAAATAAAATTGTGGGGTTTATGCCATTGAATATAAAAAGTAGATTGATTGTAAAACAATTTATGTAAATAATGGTTAAATTAATTTAATGAATTTATTGTATACAGATGATAATAAAAAACAATAATATATAATTATCTTCATAGAGAGGAGAGACGTTACGGCTGGAAATACAATTCTTTATAATATACTAATATACGATTCTCATAACCCCATGATCACCACGTACTACCAAAAATAAACATCCGTTTTCCTCATAATTTACATATCCACACTTCCTAGTGTTCAAATTCTATATGATAGACAATTCAGTTAACTAGATTCACTTTTGGATCTGATTGACTTTATTCCCTTTTTTCTGGACTCCATGAAGATGACCTTTTCTATCAATAATGCATTGATGCAACTTAATTGTCATTCCAATGAAGAAATTATAACCAGCGCAAAGCAGGTCCACATTTTCATGATACTTCAGAGATCAAAATATGAAAGCCTACTTCAGAGGTTAATAAATTTTAAGGATTTTGGTAGCTGTCTATTTTATTTCCAATATTCAATGTTTAAAAAATGCAATTACCCAGTACAACCTGTATGGGCTTGCACACCAATTCTGCGCAATATTTGAGGTTGAACATGGATTCTAAAAAAGAGCATCTTAAGAGGTAAGTATACGGATTGTCAATTTTACTTCATTTAATGCTTTATGGAGTTCTTTTAAGCAATTTCCCTATTTTGGCCATCAAGGACTCTTGAATCTTTAAATTCCTCGTGCTTTTCTGTCATGAATTTATTTTTTTTTTGAGAAAGGAGAAAAACTTGAAGTCAATCAAATTACTTACTGCACTTGTAGTTTTGGTCCCTTTGATCATAACTACAGCATCATCAGATATTCTTTCCTCAACAACCTCATCAGCAGATCCAAGAAAAGATGGTTCAAATGTTTCCTCTCCTTCCATATCAGCAAATGTTGAGACCTGTCAAAAGTAAAAATAAAGTCAGACGGTGGATAAAGGAACTGTTACTGTAAACTTCTATTGAAGACAGTCAATGACTATTAGGGAATGGTATTAATACAAATTGAAACAGACAGAATCAAGGATCCTGGTTACTTGAATCTTGCGGCATTTTATTTACTATAAATTCATCCTATTGATTGCTAATTAAGTCATGATCAGATGTATATAAGAGACCCTCATCCAGCCTAATGACAAAGAATACAGCCCACTCCCTTCAACAAAACAGAGACACCGTGGTAACAAAGTAAGGTTACTTTCGTTCAACTTAAGCCTCACATTAACAAGCGGAAAACACTTCATATTTCAGAAAGAAAAAGGGCTTCTTGGATGACAGGCTATTAAAAAGCCTAAAGACTTTAGGCTGGTAGAATTCAGAATGATCAATTGTTACAATGATTTGAATCAGACATTCGTTGCATTCTCTCCAACCCATATAAATAGCAACAATTTTATCATCTGGAAAAAAGGGGAGATAAAAAGGAAGGAATGGAGCACTATAATATTGACAGTCCATAGTATCAAATATTCAGATTTACAAACTTAAATTGCAATTAAATCAAGAAATTTAAAATAAACAAAGCCTACCAATGTTGCACCAGTAGCTTTGGCAACGTGACGCATATCCTCTTTCCGTACACGTCTTACAGCAATTGCCCCAGCCTCAACAAAGTACTGAGACAAAAATTAAATAGTCAGAAAGAAAGATAAATTCATGACTTTTTGTCATTCTTCAGAAGAAAATGTAATTTAAAAACAGTCACAAACTAAAACAGAAGAAAACTAATAAGCTAAGTTTAAAGATCCATAGGCATAGAGGTCACAACAAGTTTGGTGTAGCTTCATCATTGGGGCTCTACTAAATATTATTTCATAGTTTCATCATTTCACCATTTCATAGTAAAACTAATAAGGTAAGACATTTACTTCCTTAAAACAGGCCATATTTACTGAAATCACGAAGGGTTTATAAATTGGACCTTTTGTGGTCCTAAGTTTAACCATAGTCAATGAGTAAGTGTAATGATATACAACCAGCAAAAAAAAAATATGGTAGATTAAAAAAAAATCAAAGTCAGAAAACCCTCAAAAAATCCTAGCTTGTTTTGTCAAGAGTCCTTTGGTGGGATGATTCATTTAATTTGTCAACCAAACCCAAATTCTTTGTTATCATTCAAGTGTCGCATAAATGTAAGATTTTAAACAAATCATCTTGCTTGAAGAAAAATACCATTAAAAGAGTACCATAAAGAAGCATACCTTAAGTGCCATGTCATCAATTCCTTTAGTAGTCATAACAACATTAGCTCCCGCTTTCAATAGCTTTTCAATCCGTTCCTTAGTCATATCAGCCTCTCTGCAGTTACAAAAATGGCAATTTGTTAAAATGTACTATAGATATATTTTATCTTACAAGATGATATGGATAAAGAATTGTCCCAAGCCAGGAAAAAGTGAATTCCTACATTGAAACTTTACATAATAAGGTGGATTGCACAATTAGATCAATATTTATCATAAGAACTACACAAACTAACGGATAACCATAATATTTTTATATTATTTAGCAAAAACACTTGAGAGGCTTTCGATTGACTTCATGCCTGTCATCCAAAATTCTATTTGTCTATTTTATTACTTTCAATAACATAATAAATTTATTCTCATATCTAAAGAAAATGAATCCAGTAAGGTTGGGTATCATAGTATTAGAAGCCATGTGATCATACTAACAGTACCTTTGACGAATTTTCTCTAGCTCCCTAGGATCAGTGACTAAAACTTGAACACCCAATTGCATTTTTGTCTTCTGTAGATTGAAATCAAGACACGCAATTTTTGCAGGGGCAACCCTAAGAGGCATTCCTTGTGCAGCACGGCCAGTATTTAGAGCATAACCATTCATCAGAAAACTGTCTCTAGCACTTTTTCCATGGGCTTTCAAGATATTAATTCCCTGGAACATGAGTCACAAAATAAACAAGGAATTAAATCAATTCAAATCCAACATACCACTAAAAACTGGCATCTTTCGTCAAGGAAAATAACTGAAAAAGAGAAATTCTACTACCAACCTTAATTGGGTACTTAACTTCACCTCGAGCATTGGTCATCTTAACAGATTGCACAGCATCTACAACCTGCGTAAATTGCACATACAAGTCAACTTCAAAACATAAAAAATAATTTCTAATAACTACAGTCATCAGAAGAAAACAGTCATCGGAAGAAAAACTTGTCCTAAAATAGTAGTTTGCACTGTTTCCACAACTAAGCCCCAAAATTCAAAATCCACAGGGACCATAGCCCCAATAAGCATACATATGACTAACATAACCTCTTTCAAAATCCACAGGGACCATAGCCCCAAAATTCAAACTGCACTAGGGTTGAATTTAACACATGAGATCACATACATATTCCAGTAATAACCCCCCACCCCAAATATATTAAAAATCAAGAAAACATATTTAACTACAAAACTTCCATGACACCCACAGTTTGAACAAATGCTTTCTGGTTAACATCGCAATCATTTTGATTGATTCTATAACTCTCGTGATATCAATAATAAAGCTTTTATTTCAGTTTCATGTGAAAATACTTAATATTGCCGAGCCAAATATAGTCAACAAAACAAAATTTTACACATGAAATCAAGAAAATATTTCACCTCCTATCCTCTCAAAGCAGAAATGAAGTATAAAATTTGGTAAGAAAAACTAGGATGTTTTACTAAAAACAGATTTTAAAATGAGATGAGGATTGAAAGAATATAGCTTAACCAATATCAAGTTCAACTACTATTCCAACTACAAATTGATTCGTGAAGCAGAAAAATGCATATGAGCTTTACACAATTGGATACGAACTAGATTTTGCATAAGAAGCGGGGTGTGCATTAATCGTGTGAAATAAACCCCCAACATTCAATATAAAATCATTGCAATCACAAACATACCAAATTGGCAAAGAAGTCACTATCACCAGCAATCAACTTTGAGGACATACTGGTCTTGGCACAGTTAATTAGTGAATCCTTTCCAAGCTTTTCAACCTACAGGTAAAGAGAACAATCTGACTGAGTACCACACTATACACAACAATTTGCAGATGCATTGATATTGGTACATAAAATGACTATGAAAGTAAGCTTATCAAAAAAATAACACAGGGAACCAATAGAACAGATGCTTACTATCATCCTCACAGCCAAACTTTTTATGCTGATGCAAAATCGAATACAGGAAGCATAAGCATAAATTTTTTATACGTGTGATATTATGGGCAATGGATTAGTTAAGGAAATCAAATCATAAGAACACCTAATGAGAGGAATGCAACTCAGAATTCTCTACACATCCATGATGTAAAATGGTTATAAGAGAAACCATTATGGAACTAACGTTATTGGTTTTCAGTTAAACTAACCATAACACCTATAAACGATCTTAGAAGAAAGAGATTACATTGTCATCTTGGAACATACAAACTGTGATTAACATCCTCAAACATACAAAAAATTAAAAAGGTCAGGAACATCTTACCTTGACAGACAGTTTTTCTTCTACATATTTACAGGCCTCCCGCATAGCAAGCTATCCAGAATAATCAACATAAAGAAAAGTTAAATAATACAAGTTCCCCATTCAAATAAAAGAACATCAAAACTTCATAACTGTAGCTACAAAGTTCAAAAAAACAATCGGCAATCAATTAAGTTCAAGAAATGAAAAGACACTTACTCTATATCCACTGATGATCGAGGTAGGATGAATCTTGTTCCTGACAAGATCATTTGCCCTCTGCAGAACAATAACACTCGTTAGTAACATCCATTGCGTCCGAGACAAACACAACTCAAACAGAGTAGCAAAAAGAGATCGTCGCAGTTACTTTGAGAAGTTCAGCGGCTACAATGACGACAGAGGTAGTACCATCTCCTACTTCCCTGTCTTGAAGCTCGGCAAGTTCCACCAAAACCTAAAAAACCACACACATGAGTAACAGCGAAGAAACGAGAAACAGAAATGCAAAGAAAAATCGTTTTCTCGTTCACCTTGGCAGCAGGATGCTCCACTTCCAACATCTTGAGAATCGTAGCACCGTCGTTGGTGATCGTGACGTCGCCAATGTCGTCGACGAGCATCTGAAAAAAGCGCGTAGCGAATCGATTCAAACATTGCCAACTTTATCTAAGATCTAACTACAGAGAGAGAGATAGGCAGACTACCTTGTCGAGACCAACGGGACCTAACGAGCTTTTGACGATGTTGGCAACGGCTTGGCACGCCACCACTGCGTTACCGGAGAAATGAACGAACGACGTTAGAAATGGTTGCTTCGTTATTCGTTGTGGAAGACGAAGAATATAACCAGAGAAAGATAGAGATGGAAACGATACCGTTTTGTGTGCGAACGTCTTGGCCGGACTGTCGCTCGCCGGCGATGTCAGGGGTTTGCGCAACAACCGCCATTGGAGGGAGTATGTGTGTGCAGTCTAGGGCTTCACTCGCTAACACACACTTCGTAGGTGCAAAGGGTTTTGGTTTTTTCAACTTCGCCCTTCTTTATTTAACCTTTTCTTCTCTTTTTATGCTATTATACATCATTATTTTCATGCCTCTGTCTTAACCTTGGCATTTTCTTATGGTTAAATGGTTATTTTTGAAAAAAATAAAACCTTTTAAAAATATAGATTTAAATATGTGTTCATTTTGGTTTTATATTTTACTCTTTGAATTGTTTTTTAATTATGTTATTTAGAAAAAATAGTCTCTCTACTCAAATGTGATATACCTTATTGACATTAAAATTAATATTTTAAAAAATAAACATGTTACAAAGTGTATGACAGTCATAAATTAAAGTAGAGTTTTATTATTTATTTAGTTTCTATATTTAAGCAAGTATTATTTTTATCATATTAAAAAGAGCATATTTAAGTGTCTGTATATATTATTTTAATATATTTTAGTCTCTCTGAGTTTAAATTAAAACAAAATAGAAATGTCTAAAAAATTTAAAAAAATAAAATAATATAAGTACTATAATAGACAATATTTAGTGTAGAGATTAAAAAGTGAAATTTGTATAACTATAAAGATTAAAGGAGTAATTAATTCTTAAAATAATTTATTACATGATATTTCCAATTCTTTAGCAAATTTTAATAGTCTTTTAAACAAATAAATTAAACTTAATATTTATAAATTACATGAATTTAAAATATAAATTTTGAAAACAAAAAAAAAAATAAAAATGTTCTAAATTGTAAAGATTGAAAGCAGAATTACGAAAGATATGGTTTAAAATAAGTTTGTATGAAACAATTTTACTCTTTTTTGTTTATTAATATGGAAAATTATGATAGAAACCACGTAAATAATTTAAAATCGAAGTTTTCATTAAAAATTATCATTCACGAAATTTTAATGTAATTTCCAACCTATATTTAATGCAAGTTATAATGAAAACTTGTATATTAATTCCTTAACTACTATTCTTAAATTTTAAGTCAATGACCTACTAATATTTTTTTGTTACAAGTAACATTCGTTTTGATTTTGATATGTTAAGAGACTGATTTATATCTTCTTTGCTTAAGATAATAATTATATCCACTTCCCAATTTTACGAACAATCAAAAGAAAAAATAATAATATTATATATATATATATATATATATCTGTCTCTT